CATGCTCTGCTTGAAATTTCTCTGTCCTATAGTGGAGCTGGTACTTCAACTCACTGCACTCAACAAAAGGCTCAGAGGAACATCACTGCCTTCCTTAATTGGGCCCATTCAGGAATGAATCCAGCAGCCACTTAGGAAAGAATTAGCTAACAGTAATGAAACCATCACTCTTCTCAGATATGAACAGTCAGAGAGATCAAGAACTTGGCTTGATGGAAATTCTTAGGCAACACTTTCACATTTATGCTATATTCTTTTTTCTTTTTAAACATAGCATCTTGAAAAAACTTGTCAGCATAAGAAATTATTTTTAAATCTCTGGAAATTTACAAGATTAAAGTGAGTAAGAGTTGTATAGTTACATAAACATTTCCAAGAAATATAATGATTAGTAAAAGTTGTAGGGTGTTTTATTGGGGGGGGGTCACATTATAACTTCTTTGATAATCAATTCCCATTTTCTCTGTAATCAGTACTTATTTTTCCAGTTAATGGAGAAGGAAGCCAAAGATGAATCAGTTTACTTAAAACAAGTCTTAAATCTCCAGGAAGAAAAACAGGGTTTTGTGCATGTAGATGTATGGCTGGGAAGGAAATTACTATCTGATACCATGTATGTATTTTCATGTCTGGAGAACACTTGGATCAAAACATGAAAAAACAGGAAACTTTAGGATTAGGATAATATGGATGGTCAAGACATTTCCAAGAGGATAATAAAATGTATTATAAATTTTGCAAATTAATAGGCTTTTCCATATGTAAAGTATAACCAACCTAGTGCCTCTAAACCTTGCTGTAAACCTATCATTAAACCATCTCCTGCTGGTGAGGCTGCAGAGGGCTGGGACTCTGCACTTCAGGTGTAGGAACAGGGCATCGGAAACCCCAGAACTAATGAGATTTATTTACAGAGGATCCAGATAGCAGCTCATGTTGATTCAAGGGCTTCTCCAACATCCCTGGGGCTGGGCTTCCAAGTCAAGACTGGGGACTGAGTCCAGCTCCACATCACTGGGTGGGACAGCCTCTGTGACCTGTGCTTTCCTCATCTATCTAATGGTTGTAGAGATGGCGACTTAAAGGCAGTGGGAGCATTAAACCTGATGGGAAGCACTGAGCAAGTGTCCAGCGCAGGGCAGAAGCTCATGAGGTAAGCGACAGCCTCATGACAAGAGTCAGGAGTCTGGTCCCAGCTGTCAGCGCATTTTCTCTGCCACTCATTCACTGTGTGGCTTGGGAAAAGTCACCTGACTCTGCCAGCCACTGAAGAGGAAGTACCAACTCAGAGGATGGTCTCACACAGAGCAGGTGGGAGGGTCAAAGGAATTCACATGGACACAGTGCTAAGCAGGCGGGCTCACTGCATTCTCCAAGAATTAGTGCTGGTTGTTATTAATGATGATTATTCAGCCAGCCCACTAGAAAGGTGGGGAGTGCATGGTGGTGGGGGTCAACTAGGGTACAGGGTAGCAGCCCTCTGCAGGGTTCCAGCAGCTGTGTTGGTGACACAGGTCAAGAGCTTAATATGGTGTACACAGCCCAACCCACTCAGTAGGTGATGCCAAGGGGGTTAACCTACAACGGTGCAGAGCCAATCCAAAGCCCAAAGGACAACAGCTAGCAAACCCACAGGAACGTATTACAGCAATTCAGCTGTAGGGAACATCACGGAAAAGCTTGCTTGTGTGTGTGTGTGTGTGTGTGTGTGCGTGTGTATGTAAGCCCTGTTCTCCAGTTGGCCTGTTTCAAAATATTTGTTCCAGGGAGAGAGAGGAAACACATCTTACAGGTGGTGAAGGTGTCCATGGCCAGGCGCTTGCTCACCCTCCTTGTGACTGCTCATGCCCTGGTGCAGTTATTTAAATGTGCTTATCGCCTATAAAAGCTGTATTTCATCTCATGAACAGAAATCAATAGAAAGAAAACAAACAGACTCTCCTGCCCTTCCTTCTCAACATGCTGATAAGTGAGCACCTCTCCTGCATCCACGCTGTGGTAGGCAGGGAAACAGCTATTTGTATCTCACTCCACTTAAATGCACACAGAATAGCCTGGGTCTCATGAACTTTACAGCATTGTTCCCCTGGCAAGGCTCTCTTGTTCTCTCTCGTCCTCTGCCTCCTCCTTAAGGAAGTGGCTGGGTGTGGACGTGTGGATGCCCAGGTTCCCTAGGGGAGAGCATTACCAGAGGCCCACAAGCTTCTGTTTGCCGTTCAGAGTTCAGGAATGTGCTGAAAACCAGAAGTACCCATTAACTCCTATGGAGCTGAAAGTTAACCTGAACTTGACACGAGTCTCTCGAGTTTATCTCGCTTCGTCTGCACATAACACAGTTTCCTCTAGGGGTCTAAACAGTATATGCATGGCTTTATTCTCCTAAAATCTGAGTTATCCTCTTAAAGCCCCAATGTTCCTGAAACCTTCAATAAACTGAGCTGCAGATCTGTAGGGGAGTTCCCAATGCTGTTATGTCCCAAACACGGCTTTGTGGAAAGAGCCAGGGATAAGGGTAATTGCAAGATTTTCTTTAAACTGCTTTCTGCTTTTGAAACCAGAAAATGGGCTGAATCTTCTCACTGTGATCTCATGATTTAAAAATAGGAAATAATCACTCAGAAATTTCACCCCAAATGTTGTTCTTCCCTCATGTGGCTGCCCTGTAGCTGACCCCACACGAGGTTTTATAGAAAATGCCTAAATATAGCTGCTCTGGGGACCAGGAACACACACTTCCTTCTCCAGGGGACACATGCTTTCACTGGCCTGGCTTCCTCTGGATGCCAGTAAATCCAATTCAAACTCCTGCTCCATTAACTACCCAGGTACACAATGGGGGCACAGTTAGACCCCCATGGAGTTTTGTTTTCTCATGTCTCTATTGCTAAGAATAACCCCTATCAATCAGGAATGAAATGGAAGCTTCTTTCCACACTCTCTTTCCTCTGGTTCAGACGTCACCTGGAGAATGTTAGAAGCAGAATACTGTATCCCTTTTAGTATTTTTTTTGTTCTACTTAATACTATTGGTTGAAATCTGTAGTTAACACATAATTATTCTTAGGTGTTGAAATTTAACTGAAAAGTGATCTCTGTTAAATATAAGAGTGGGAATAAGAGAGGGAGGAGATGTACAATTTGGGACATGCGCAAGCTGACTTGCCCCAAATGGTGGAGTTAGAAATGTGCCAGCGGATTCCAATTCAATCCCATCAAGGTGGCATGTACCAATGCCATCTCACTAGTCCAAGTGATCAATTTCAGTTCACAATTGATCATACTGATAGGTCTAAGAGTCAAAGGGATGACATAAACAAGACTAGTGTCTGCTAATACTAACTGATAGAATAAAAAAGGGAGAGAACTATCCAACATGGGAAGCAGGATACACAACAGACTCATAGAATGGCAGATGTCCCAAACAGCACTCTGGCCTCAGAATTAGCCCTTAAGGCACTCGGATCTGGCTGAAAAGCCCATGAGAGTATTTCAGGCATGGAAAGCCAAGACACTCTGGCAAAACCAAACCAAACCAAACCAAACCAAACCTAAATCAAAGATCTCTGCGAGTGAGATCCCATTAGAAAGAACGGGCCATCAAAGAAGGAAGTACCTTTCTCTGAAGGGAGGAGAGAATTTCCACTTTGACTATAGCCTTGACTAACTATGATCAGAGTCAGCGATCATTTAACTCAGAAGGCTTCCATAGCCTTGGCAACTCATGACTAGAGCCTAGGGTGATTACTAACGCCATAAACAAGAGTGTCAATTTGTTAAGTCAACAACAGGAGTCACTGTGCAGTTACTCCTCATGTAGGATCTCTGTCCTTAATGTGCTGTTCAATGTGAATTAATGCTATAACTAGTACTCAAACAGTACTTTACACTTTATGTTCTGTGTGGGTACAAACTGTTGAAAGCTTTACTTAATATATGCTAAATTGATCTTCTGTATATAAAGATAATTGAAAATGAATCTTGATGTGAATGGAATGGGAGAGGGAGCGGGAGAGGGGAGTGTTGTGGGTGGGAGGGAAGTTATGGGGGGGGAAAAGCCATTGTAATCCATAAACTGTACTTTGGAAATTTATATTTACTAAATAAAAGTTAAAAAAAAGAAGCAGAAAGCTTAGTGTTCACTTTCTTCCACGTGGTCACCCTCATGGCGAGGCACAGGTGTTTGTGGTGCCTGTTAGTGTCTGACAAGGATGAAGGAAATGGATTTGTATCAAGGTCCTTGAGCCAACCTCAAAGTCAGAGGTTCCAAGGAAAACAGCTGTCGATCAGAGGCATGATGGCAGGGAGGGCAGAGACATCGTTTGAGCACACTTGGTCACTCATAAGGGTGTGGTCTCACAGTTTCTAGATTTGGCTAAGAACTTGGGGGTGGGGTGGTCAGATGCTTGCCAGTGTTTCTTCAATCATACATTCTCTACCTTGGCTGGACAGATGGCCAGGCCCACCCCTGAGCCTTAACTAGTGTGTTGTTCTCAAGGGTCTGCTGGGAATCTCGGCCCCGGTGGTAACACTGTATACAGACTGCCAGTCTGTGTGTTGTGAGAGTCACTGGGCCTCTGCACCAGTGGTCTGGTCTCTGAGTAGAGATGAAGGCAGCTATGTGCACCACCAAAGAACCACAGAGTCACAGGAAGGCTGCCCTTGAGTACATCCCACTGCCCTGCTCCACGCAGCCTTGGCTAAACCAGTCACTCAGAGCAGGTGGAGGCAGACCTGTCGCTGCCTACCTGAATACAACTCCCATGCATCAGGACAGGGCTCTGGGTGGGATGCAGTCAGGGAAGGCAGGATATTCCAGAAGCTCTGTTTGTCCCTTGTCTGGGAATAAAACCCTGCCTCTCTGATTGCAGAAGGAAAAATACACAGCACAGGGCCCTACATGGCCCGGGAGTTATCAGAAGCACAGGACAGAGAACAAATGTTAATATTTAACCGAATAACAGCTATTTGTGACACGCGCTCCACGCTTGCCAGTCTCCCACCTGGGGCTTTCCCATTCTTGGTCATCCTTGTCTTTCTCTTCCTTGCTGTCTCCAGTATGTGGGTGTTTCTGCACAATTCGCATTCCACCGGCTTTCACTGGAATGGAAACAGAGAGAGCTATGAGCAACATGGTACTGGAGCTGCCCAAGGGGCAGCTGGCTGCCCACAGCTACAGCTACATGGAGACTGGCAGTGACCGCTACCAACCAGGCAACATTCCTGTGGTCTGGGGGAGACTGCAGGCACAGCGCTCAATGCCACCTCTGACCCCACGTCTATGCCTGCAATTTCCCATCTGGTCACCTTTCAGAATCTGTGTAACAGCAGTAGTGTGGCTGCTTGCTTTAGGACCTGTGCATCTTCTCCTTGACATAAGGGATCACAGGAGTATCAGTGATGCTTTTCATGGGGTGACATAACCCTGGGTGACATGGGCCACGGAGCCCAGTCAGGGGCAGCGAACACATCCACAGACTGTGCTATGAAGCCCTACCATTGGCAGATGTTAGTTCTGGTTTTTAGAACAGCTTTATTGGTACATGGTTCATGTACAGCATAATGGGCCCATTTTAGCTGCACAATTCAGTGGTTCCCAATGTATTCAGAGCTGTTCAGCCTTCACCACACTCAGTGGTAGAAGAGCTCCATCACCCCACACTGAAAGCCATAGCCAGGGCCTGGCAACCAGTCATCTGGATTTGTCGCTTCTGGACAGATGATATAAATGGAATCATAAAATACATGGCTTCACAAACTGGCTCCCTTCACCCAACATAGTGTTCTCAGGGCTCATCCACATTCTAACAAGTGTCAACACTTCATTCTTTCTATTGCTGAATAATATTCCATCAGATACCACACTGTTTTTCCATTCATCAGGCAAAAGGCATTTGGGCTATTTCCACTTTTTGGCTGCTATGACTAATACAGCTAAGAACAACTTGCAAACAAGTTTTTGCATGGATTTTTTTTTTTAGAAATTTATTTAGGCCAGCGCCGCGGCTCACTAGGCTAATCCTCCGCCTGTGGTGCCAGCACCCTGGGCTCTAGTCCCAGTTGCTCCTCTTCCAGTCCAGCTTTCTGCTGTGGCATGGGAAGGCAGTGGAGGATGGCCCAAGTGCTTGGGCCCTGCACCCTCTTGGGAGACCAGGAGGAAGCATCTGGCTCCTGGCTTTGGATTGGCGCAGCGCTGGCCGTAGCAGCCATTTGGGGGTGAACCAATGGAAGGAAGACCTTTCTCTCTGTCTCTCTTTCTCTCACTGTCTGACTCTGTCTGTCAAAAAAAAAATAAATAAAAGAAATTTATTTATTTTACTTGAAAGAGTTACACAGAGAGAGGAGAGGCAGAGAGAGAGAGAGGTCTTCAATCCGTTGGTTCACTCTCGAATGGCTGCAACGGCCAGAGCTGCGCCAATCTGAAGGAAGCCAGGAGCTTCTTCTGGGTCTCCCACTCGGGTGCAGGGGCCCAAAGACTTGGGCCATCTTCTACTGCTTTCCCAGGCCATAGCAGAGAGCTGGATCAGACGTGGAGCAGCCGGTTCTCGAACTGGTGCCCATATGGGATGCTGGCACCATAGGCAGCAGCTTAACCCGCTATGCCACAGCACTGGCCCCAGCATGGATATGTTTTCAACATTCTTGAGTATACATGTAGGCGTGGAGTTGCTGGGCCACACAGTAAGTCTGTATTTAGTCTTACGAGAAACTGCAGGCCGCTTTTCAAAGCCATGGTGGCCGCTAGTACAAGGGCTCACAATAGCTATGCCGGTCTCCTGCCACAACAGAACTTGAATCACAGCCAACGTGTGGTACCGTGTTGGCTGGTGTTTCAAATTTGGCTGGACCAAAAGGCACAAAGTCCAGGACAAGTTCATGATGTTGATGAATGGGAAGGAAAGTGTGAAAAGCAGCCTCAGGTCTTCACAGTTCAAGTTCATCACCTTTGATGTTCCTGGGAGAGATGGGCAGCCCCAGGCTTCAAGCCAATGACACCTGCTTCCCAGGCCTGCAGTGCCCCAGCAGCTGCCTATCTAAGAGGGTGAAACAGAGCGAGGGAAATAAAGGACCATGTTTGCACAGCTGGGCTGCAGCTAAGATCCCCTGGCTGCCCTCACTGCTTCTTTGCAACAGAGACGGGGGACATTCTACTTTAGAAAGAGGAAACTGGGAGCCTACTCAGTAATCTTCTCAAAAATCTGCTTTGTGTTCCAGCAGTGGGTTTTTAAAGTTTCATCCCAAGTGGCCAAATGCCTCCTCCCAGTCCTTGAGTTTTAATCATTTTATTTTTAGTTTCTAGAGCTTTCATGACTCTCGTGTCTCTAATTCATCAGGTCTTTATTAATAGCACCTTTCTTCTCATTTTCTCACATCTTCAACTCCTTTACACATTTGGCCGTCTTCAGGCACACATGTCTGACAGCGCAGATCCAGTTGTTCTCTGAGGTCCCTGGGTGTCTGTTTCTGTCGTTCGCTTCTGTCTGCCGATTCCCAGTCTTCTACGGTTGGCTGCGGACAAGGAGCTGCTCTTCACCGGGCTTTGCCAGTGAGGATGTCATGGGGCCCGCAGAGCAGACAGCGACCCTGAGGACAGGTCCTGCGTGTGCTTCTGTGGGTCCTGGACAGCCTCTTCGTAGCAGATTTCCCGGAATAGGACTTGCCAGACATAGTGTGAATCTGAACTCAGCTCACGTCACAGCAGACCTGTGTTCCCAAACTCGAAGGGATGGCCTCAAGCCCAGACTGACTCAGCCCAGCTTCCCTGCCAGGCCCGAGCCTTCCATGCAGCCAGGTAGTGACCCCACCTCCGTCCCCTCCCCAAGGGCTTGGCCTCTGAGCATCCACCCTGCTCTCTTACAGGGTCTGAGGTGCCACACCCTGCTTGGTGTGGGGCCGCTTAGGCTGTCTGGGTTTCAGTGTCTTCTTTGTTTTCAGTCCCTAGCGATTTCTCTCACTTTGAGCCCAGATACACAGATGGAAGGAGAGGAGATGGAAGGAGGGAGGAAGGGCGGATGGGCCACCATTTGCAGGCAGTTTTCAAATTCGAGATTCCCCAAGTTACATCGTCTGCCACACCACTAGAAATGGAGATAAAATTAAATCCTTAGGAGGCTGAGATAATTTCCCAACCCCTTGAAACTTGAATGCTTTCTGGCAAAGGAAGAATCTAGAAATGTCCACTAAGTGAACTTTTGAAATTCATTTCCCACCTCGCTTTATCCAAAGCACCTCTGAAACTGATTAAAGATGTCTGGTGTGGTCTGAATGGCATTCTCTTAAAAATTCATAGGCTGAAGTCTTAACCCTATCACCTTAGACTGTGAATGGATGAGGGGGTCCTCAAAAACTTCATGGAAAATGCATTTTTTTAAAAAAAGTGCCTGGATTTCAAAATACTTTTGCATCAAACTAAACCATTTTTTAAATTCCACTTTTCCACAAGCTTTTGAAGATCCCTTGTATTTGGAGACAGGGCCTTTAAAAAGGTAACTAAGTTAAAATGAGGCCATCAGGGTGCAGCCGTACTCAATGGGACTGGGTCCTTGTGAGGACAGTGCCGTCTGCGAGGCACGAAGACAGGCCTCAGGAGAATCCAGCCTGCACACACCTTCACCTTGGACCTGCAGACGTGACAATGGAGAAATCAGTGTCCACCAAGCTGCCCAGTCCATGCTGCTTTGGCACGGCTGCCAGCAAACTAATGCAGATGCCCATTTGAAAATGATCTCTGTATTTCAGGCATGGAAAGCCAAGACACTGTGGCCAAAAAAAAAAAAAAAAAAAAATGATCTAAATGAAAGATCTCTGTGAGTGAGATCCCAGTGGAAAGAACGGGTCATCAAAGAAGGAGGTACCTTTCTCTGAAGGGAGGAGAGAACTTCCACTTTGACTATAGCCTTGACTAACTATGATCAGAGTCAGCGATCATTTAACTCAAAAGGCTTCCATAGCCTTGGCAACTCATGACTAGAGCCTAGGGTGATTACTGACGCCATAAACAAGAGTGTCAATTTGTTAAGTCAACAACAGGAGTCACTGTGCAGTTACTCCTCATGTAGGATCTCTGTCCTTAATGTGCTGTTCAATGTGAATTAATGCTATAACTAGTACTCAAACAGTATTTTACACTTTGTGTTTCTGTGTGGGTACAAACTGTTGAAAGCTTTACTTAATATATGCTAAATTGATCTTCTGTATATATAGATAATTGAAAATGAATCTTGATGTGAATGGAAGGGGAGAGGGAGCAGGAGAAGGGAGTGTTGTGGGTGGGAGGGAAGTTATGGGGGGAAAAAGCCATTGTAATCCATAAGCTGTACTTTGGAAATTTATATTCATTAAGTAAAAGTTTAAAAAAATGATCTCTGGATCATTTTAACTTGGCATACATAAAGCTGTTACACCACAATCACTGATGTGTTCATAACCTGACTGAAAGTTAAAAGGGCCACGCAACTACCTGCAGAGAAGACTGGAGTAAATGCTAAGGTAACACTTGAAATGACCAAGGCTTCTGAAGCTCCCACGGGCGGTCTGTCCCTTGCAGTGAGCACACCACGTCCAGCATTAGCGCTTGCATTGGAGTTAGTTTCTAAAACAATTAGCTTCATTAATCCCTCTCAGTATGCCTGGTGATTAATGCAGCAATAAAAAGCAGCAAGAAGAAGAATAACTCAAGGCTCAGACAGACTCATTTTAACTTGCAATGCCGGCAAAAATATGACAGTACATATTTATTGTGATTGTTGTATGGTTGTCTCCAGAACTCTTCACTTGTAAAACTACAAAGGGGGAACTATTTTTTTTTTGCAGAAATCCTTGCAGGGTTATTTGCAAATCTAAGTATTTTTTTATGAGAGACATTAGGAAAAAAAGAACTCTGATTTTTGTAGCTGTGGCTGTTATTCAAATAAGAGCTTCAAAGGTGAAAACAAAACAAAACAAAACAAGCCTCCTCCTAGAAGAGTGCTGTGCAGAGGGTAAGGGCATGAGTCTGGAAGTCAGAGCCCTGTGTTCAAACCCCAGCTCTGTCCATGTATGCATATGTGTCTGCGTGCCTGTGCATGCGTGTATGTGTCTGCATGTGTGAGCATGCACGT